AAGATCAGTTGACCATAGGTGTGTGGATTCCAACTCATTTTTTGAGGCTAGTATTACTCTGATACTGAAATAAGACAATTATATTACAAAGAAAAGAAACTATGAATCTTGTTAATGTAGATGTGGAAAATCCTTAATAAAATTTTACCAAATCCCTTTCAACAATATGTTAAAAAGGATAATATATCATGAGCAAATGGGGTTTATCCCAGGAATTTAAGGTTGGCTTTATATCAATCAATAGTACTTTACTGTATTAACAGAACAAAGGAGATAAACCATATGATCATTTCAATAAATGTAGAAAAAGCATTGACAAAAGTAAGTACTCACTAAAGATTAAAATGCCCAACAAACTAAGAATAAAAGGAAACTTCTCAACTTGACTAAGTGTATCTACAAAAAACCTAAGGCTAATGTATTACTCCCTGGTGAAAGCTCATTGCTTTCTACCTGAAATCATGAATGCCTGTGTTTATCACTCCTATTCATCATTGTATTCGAAGTCCTAGCCAGTGCAATGAGGCAAGAAACAATAATAAAAGATACACTGTCTGGAAAAGAAAAAGTAAAACTCTCTGTATGTTAAACAACGTGATTGTTCATGTAGAAAATCATAAGAAATTTACCAAAAAGCTATTAGAACCAGTACATGAATTTAGCCTGGTCATAGGCTACAAAGTCAACATACAGAATTAATTGTATTTCTATAAACTAGAAATTAACAATTAGAAAAATGAAATTGAGTAAACAGTTCTATATACAGTAGCATAAAAAGTGAACTAATGAATAAATTTAACAAAAGATAAGTGATACATACTTTAAAAATAGCAAACATTGTATAGGGAAATTAAGATCTAAATAAAAGGTAGATATACATGTTTGTGAATTGGAAAGCTCAATATTTTTAAGATGGCAGTTTTTCTCAGATTGATCTATAGATTCAATACATTTTCAACCAAATCAGAGCAAGCTTTTTTGAAGAAATTTACAAGCTGATTCTAAAATTTGAATGGAAAAGTAAAGGACCTAGAACAAATGAAATAATTTTGACAAGAAAGGGCAAAGTTGGCTTTATACCACCTGATTGCAAGATTTACTATGAAGCTGCAATAATCAAGACAGTGTGATATTTGTGTACTGATACATGTATAGATCAATGAAATGGTCTAGAGAATCCAGAAGTAGAACCACACTTACATCTTTGACAAAAGTGCCAAGGTAGTTCAATGAAGAATGGATAATCATTTCAGTAAATAATGTTGGAGCAAAGGAGCATCTGAATAGAAAGAAAACAAACTTCAACACTCTTACTCCATACACAAAAGTTAACTTGAAATGGGTCATAGAGCTGAACATGAGAACTAAAACTATAAAACTTCTAGGAGAAAACATAGAGAAGACTAGGACATTCAGTTAGCAAAGATTTCTTAGATCAGACACAAAAAAGTGTGAACCATAAAAGAAAAACAGTGATTAATTTCATCAGAATTAAAAATTGTTGCCCATCAAGTGACAGAGTGAAAAAACAAAACAAAAAATAAGTACAAGTCACAGATTGGGGGAAGATATTTAAAAAGTAATTTATCTGATATTGTATCCAAAATATATGAATGTCTGTTTCAACTAATATTAAGAAAGCAATCAACCTAATTTTTAAAATAGCCAAAGACTGAAGTAGACATTTCATAAAAGAAAATGTATGAATGGCCAGTAAGCACATAAAAGATGATGAACATCTCTAGTTGTTGGGGACAATGAGATGCCACTACACATCCACATTCTAGGCTAAAATTTGAAAGTATGAACATGTTAAATGCTGGCAAACTTGAACTTTTACACATTGTTGGTAGAAATGCAAAATGTTACAATCACTTTGGAAAACAGCTTGTCAGTGTCTTAAATAATATACACTTATTATACAACCTAGCAATCCCAACTGTAATTATTTACCCCAGAAAAATGAAAATATATGTCCACACAAAGACTTACAAACAAATGTTCATGATAGCGCTAATCATAGTAG